GTCGACTCGGTCTTCCATAGTGTAAAGATCCAAAAAAGAGAAAAAAAAATAGTCTGATCGTAAAAAAAAAAAACTGCAAGAGGAAATGATTCGTGATGGCACAAAAAAAAAAAAAAAAATCACAAGTTTCCAAAGAGAGAGAGAAAAAACGTCGGTTTGCGGCTGTTTCGTGCAACAGCCGAAATATCCCGTCACTGATTTGCTTTTTCTCCCTCTTGTTACTGTGTGTATCAGTCCTTTAAATATTAAAAAAGGCAACAAGCAGTAGTTTGAATACAAGTGTTGGCAACGCTGCAAACGCAACTCAACTGGCTTAACAGTGATTTAATAAGTAGTTCAACTGGTCTGAATAAAACCTTTTTTATTTATTTTTTCTTGCATGTGCATTAAACGTGCACGCAAAAAGGCACTGAACAGACTGAGATTGCAAATTTGGTTGATGCAACCCAATTGATGCAAAACAGACCCTTTAAAATGCAATTTTATTTTAGTATTTTAGATCTTGGCGAATGCAATCGAGGCTCTAATTGCCAATCAGCCGGGCAGTTGGATTGATCTCATTAAGTTTTTTTTTTGCAGACGACGATCAAACGGGTTACTTATCTCAATGCTCCCTGCAGAGGTTCCTCCTCTAGTTCCTGCTTGTTTCAAACAACTGGGATCTCAGATGATGGAAACTGTTATCGACATTGACACTTTTCTTTCAGTGCTTCATAAAAAAGATGTTAGATGCACGGAGAGAAACTGCAAAAAAAATAAAATAAAAATAGCAGCGCTGAGGCGAAACGTGATTTAGAGAAAATATGGCTATTTCGGAAGCTGGGTTCTTCAAATCGGCACTATATTTTTTAACAGAAAAAGAAATCATGTGATTGACTCTTTGTGATGTTGAAAGCCCCCCCTCCGCGTTGGTCCTGGTTATTTCACCCCCTTCTCTTCTCTTTACACCAGTCTCTTTTTTTTCCACCTCTCTCTTCTGCCCGGCAGCAGTTTATTTCTATAATTGTCTATGCGGACTCGGTCCTTCCTCCGCCGCGGACACATACTGATTTTTCATGGTGGTATTTTCCTCTTATCGCAGGTTTTTTTCCCTCGTAACGGGCAGCCCTCCTCCGCCTCTCCTCTCCTCCCCGTCGCCGCTCCGTAAAACTCCCCCTTCCTTGGATTTTTCGGAGGATTTCCTTCTCATGCATGCATCAATATATATATAAATACATATATTTAAAGGACACCTAGACGGCTTTCCCTCCACTGACGTCTAGCCTCCTTCCTTCCTTCCAGTGGAAAGCTCTGACACGGTTTGCTCACTGGGTCTCTCTTTTTCTTTTTTGCGGCTCTCGGAGCGGCTGCCGTCGGCGGCCCGGGTCGCTCCTTTTTCTATCGGTGATCTCCCGTTTCTGACGGTCTGTCCGCCAAACAAAATGGCGGCTTGTTGTTTCTACTCCTCTGATACGGTGGGGGGAGGAGGGTTAGAGGTACAGCAACATTAGGCGTGAAGAGGAGGAGGAGGGACGGAGGAAAGGAACAAGAGGAGAGGTTGTCTTCGTGAAGGCTCGGGAGTGTCCGGAAACCTGTCCCACCGTGTCGGCGGGCCGAGTTCAGTCTGCAGGGGACAGTGCTGCCCCACCACCTTTCTATTATTTACCCATTTTTATTAAAAAAAAAAGTTAAAAATTCAGCATATAGCTTATAACTATTTAACAAAGAGTTAATTAGCCCAATAAAGCAAACATAAACAGTTGCATAATTGGTGAAGTGCTATATTTAGGTGACAAGATGAAAACAAAACCATCTTATTAAATTGTATAATCAATAAATGGTTGAAACATCCAAAAAACTGCCAATGAAATCCTGAAAGTTAAAGCTGTAGTGGAGGATTTTCTTTTTCCGGGTGGATCATCAAATTAAGTGATCCCCCAAATTGTCAATCATTCTGGTGAGTCTGAAATAATAGAAAAATTGCAAATCTTTTCGAAAGTAAGCTTGTATGAGCGATCCAAATAGCAACTTTTAAACAGAGTGTGCACCAGGAGAATGGGGTTGTGCATGCTCTTGCAGGCATTTAAAAGGCGTTCCCTCTCAGGAGTGGGTACAGGGTTGTGCATTTGCATTTTAATTCAACTTATTTAATTGCATGATCAGTAAATGGTTGAAACATTCAAAAAGCTGCCAATAAAATGCCTGAAAGTTAAAGGTATAGTGGAGGATTTTCTTTTTCCGGTTGGATCATCAAAATCAGTGGTCCCCCTATTTGTCAATCATTCTGCTGAGTATGGAGGACCCACTCTGCCATATTTAAAAATAAATACAGAAATAAATAAATCCTCAATAAATAAATAAGCTTACAAGTAATTGCCACCAAAAATACAATAAACAAATAAATGTAAGTAGAAATTAAATTGGAAAAATTGCAAAAGATTGCAAATCTTGTTTTAGAAAGTAAGCCTGTATGAGCGACGCAAACAGCAACTTTTAAACAGCGTGCACGAGGAGAAATGTGGTTGTGCACGCTCTCACATGCGTTTCATAGGCGTTCCCTCTCAGGAGCGGGTACCAGTTTGTGCATGTGCATTTTAAACCATCTTATTAAATTGTATAATCAATAAATGGTTGAAACATTCAAAAAGCTGCCAATAAAATGCCTGAAAGTTAAAGGTATAGTGGAGGATTTTCTTTTTCCATGTTGATCATCAAAATAAGTGGTCCCCCTAACTGTCTTTTAGAAAATCTTTTAGAAAGTAAGCTTGTATGAGCGACGCAAACAGCAGCTTTTAAACAAAGCGTGCACGAGGAGAAATGGGCTCATGCATGCTCTCGCACGCGTTTAATAGGAGTTCCCTCTCAGGAGCGGGTACAGGGTTCGGCATGTGCAAAATTCGCTAATATCCTCCACTATCCCTTTAAGTTTAATAGTTTATTTATATAGCGCCAATTTGCAACATCTCATCACAAGCTACTTTAAAGACAATTTAGTCAGATGCCGCCAGATTGATAAAAAAACAAAAGTTTATTTGTAAGGAAAGCAGCAGATTGCAATGAGTCATTCACTTGCCAGAAGTCGCTCAAAGCAATCAGCCTCTGCCTGTTTAAAGGGAGTGTTTCCTTTCACCGGTTGTTGCATGTATGAATCGTGTGAGGGATTGCTGCGTCAAAAGTCGTCAAAATGCAAGTGAACATCATCGCTGCAAGCTCATCCAGGAGAAGCATGTCCTGGGAGTCAATGACTTGATGCAATCAGCTAGTTTTCTCTAATATAAACTTTTAATCAGTCTATATTATCCGGTTTAATTTTCTGTAAAGTGTCTTGTGATGACATGTTATAAAATGGTGCTACATAAATAAACTGAATTAAATTGAGCATATCCCTTGAACTTTTCCTTCATTTGTCACATTTTAAGCACATTTGTTGCATTTGTTACCTTTTTCCTATTAAAACATGTAATCTAATAGCAGTCTTCTTTCTTTCTACAAACTTTGCCCCATTACAATAAACTTCAGTTTATTTACATGAATTCTTAAGACGTACCAACATAACACAATCATTAAGTGGATGAATGTTTTAAGAATTTAAAGAAAAAAAAAAGTTTTTTTATTTAGCTCTCTTTAAGGTAAATGAAATCAACTTGAAATAAGATGATTATTCAGCTGTTCTGTGATGGCCTGATATGTTTTATGATTTTAGTGAGCAAACAGCATCACAGGGACAAACAGTTTTGCAAATGCAACGTTTGATTAGATCACCTGAAAATGGAAAAGTATGGCATAATTGCAAACCAAAACATAGTTCAATTACACTGTGATAAGGGAAAGTGTTCATCTGAGAAGCAACCAAAAGACTCATAGTACCTTTGGATGAACTGCAGAGATCTCCAGCTCATGTGGGAAAATCTGCCCACAGCGTATTAGTCATGCACTCTAAAATTCTGCCTTTATAGAAGATTAGGATGTCAAAAAAATATAAAATCATAAAGTTTGCATTTGGTCAAAGTGATGCAGAGAATAGAGGAAAAAAAAAAACGTGAAAGAAGGTCCTCTTCTTATGATTACAAACATTTGGTTGGACGGATGTCAAAAAACCAACACCAGCCTCACTGTGAAACATGGTGGTGGCAGCATTATTTTTTAGTCAGGATAAATGATGGCGCTACATAGAGGGCAGAAAACCTGTGAAAAAGGTTGCAAAAGACTAAATCTAGGGGAAAGGTTCATCTTCCAGCAGGAAAACAACCATAAACATACAGCTAGAGCTACAAAGGAATGGTTAGGATAAAAGCATGTTCATCTGCTGGAGAGGCCCAATCACATGATGTGCACACTGCGCCCCATAGCAGGGGTTAACAACTGTTACTAACTGTTGCTAAAATTAAAAAAGCCCCCTTAGGAGGAATTTTGAACCTCTCTTTTATTGCATTTTGTTTTAAATTAAACCTCATCAAGGTTATAAATAGTCTGTTTAGGCTCACACCAAAATATCTCATTCAAAGTTAATTACAGACTTTGACTAGGCCAATCCCAGACCTTCAATTTTTATGCCCCTCATAAGGTGACCCTGCTGGTCTGTTTTTAATAATTACCCAACTGTATAACAGATCCAGGATATGTAATGTTTCCACCAGTGATGTGAGTGACACGGGTCCAAATCATCATTCTACCACCACCATGTTTGACTGTAGGTCTGTTCTTTTTCTGACTGACACTCCATGAGATAAGCAACGGGCCGTGTTGAACTTGAAAACTTTGATCCATAAATCTGTGCTCTTTGGTTGGGCACATAAAATCAGAGTCCCCTTAGTTATTGCTGTTTGTATTTAATTGAAAAAAAAGCAATTTATTGAATTTTGAGATGACAGAAGCATTTCTGTGCACCACAGTGAAAGAAATCTGCTCATGCATGGCAGTAGGCTGCTCTGAAGGACTAATTTTCCCCAGAGTCCTTGTAAAGATAAAGCCCTGATATGAAATCTATAAACCCTTTTTAATTTGTTTGTCTTTCATTAAAATCTAAATCGAGAATACAAAATGTTTTTATTTTTACGGCAATGAAAAGCACACATTCACACCAACTCAGTCAAACTGTCAGTATAACAGATCCCACATCAAGAAAGTTACAATATCAGAGAAAGGAGTTGATTTGTTCGATGCAGTGGTGTAATGCTGATATTAACTGTAACTTTAATTTTTTTAACAGCAGTAAAAAGGAGAAAAAAATAATTTATGCTTTTCCTTCTGAAATGCTGTTATGTATGGGATAATTTATGGAAGCAAAGACAATAAATAAAATGTAAAAGTTCAGCGCTGGTTTAGGATTGTCCTCCTTGCTGCCATAACGTAGATTTTAAAGCTAAAACAAAATCTGTTCACATCTAATCAGCTGATCTTCTCCGAGGACTTCAGGCCTCCATTTTCATTGAAGGCACATTTTACCAATATATTAAAGGTTAAAAATGGGCAGCATAGTTAATCCTCTTTTAACATTTCATTTCTGAACATTTGCAACCTTGATAACACTGAAGTTAATGCCATCAGAGAGGCTTGAGCTGGCATGTTCCTTGAACCTGAGTTTTTCACCATTTGCTGTAGCTCCTCCTTCTCTCCCTGCACTACCCCGAGCTGCAAGCCTTCTCTACATCAGCTATAGTCTTTGGAGCACCGCAGGACAAAATCAGAGGTCCTCCCATTTCCCGGATCGCTACGTCATCCTCGATCCGGACACCGAGGCCACGGAAATGCTCTGGGGCCTGGTCGTTGTCTTCGCAGATGTATAACCCTGCCACGAGGAAAAAAATCATCAGGAAAGATTTCAGGTAATTGGACATGTAACACAAACAGCAAACACCTTTGAAACCCCTTAAACATATTTTAGGCTTCAATTTATTTATTTTGATGGAAAAGACAAAAATAATTTTAAATTTATCCTAAATTTCATGTACATTTGCATTTGAGAGGAAAAGTCTGTGAGAATGTCAACCTCAGGATGAACCAAGCTGTTTGTAGTTTGTAGTTTCTACATCTAGTTTACTACCTGGTTCTATCGTGATGACCATGCCAGGCTGGAGAGGCTGTGAGCGGGATAACTCGGGGGTGTCGTGGACGTCCATGCCTAGGTAATGGCCAACGTGGTGGGGGCAGTACCTCCTTGCAGCCTGAGATAAAAAAAAAACATTTTTATCATTTATGCATGATGAGGCATGTTATTAATTTACAGCAACAGATGTTTGTAGAACCAGACAGTTTAAATGATTCACAGCTTAATGCAGACAGGTTTCATCTGGTAAGTGAATTGAATTGATCTGTGAAGCTTAAAGGTTGGTTTATGCTTGATGCGTCCGCAAGGTCTGTGTGGGAAAAATACGTCATTTTTGCTTCCACGCCCCACCACGGAGACAGACTTTCACCACGGAGAATCTTGGACAAATTGTAACTAAACGAACGGATCCACACGGAAAACACAGCTAGCGAGCAGCAGTTCCTGCTGGCAAGGGTTTACAAATATAAACATCTAGAGAACCTTGTGATTTGGCCAATACATATCACCACTATCAACAAATTCTGAAAAAAAATCTCCGGGAAAGAAATGACTGTCGCCTCATGAAGAGGCTTTGATAAAGCTGTAAACGGCAGTGTGTTCTCGTGTAGCGTGGCCAGCTTGCGGTATGTGCTGAACACATTATTTTACATTTAGCCGAAAGTAGAAAACAATCATCGTCAGTCTTGAAGGAAAGCGCTGCCTTCTAAGACAGACTAAGCTCTGACATTTAACAAGGTGACAAAAAAGGTCTCAGCTTATTTTCCTTCTTTTTTTATTAAGATCTGAGGGCAGAGGAGGAAAAATGGAAGATCTTAAAAATGAATTCTGTAGAGATTTTAGACAAAGAAAACAACAGTTATTCTACTTGTAGAAAATTGCAGGCTGTTGTTGACACAAAGTAAAAAGTAGTCCAGCTTAATATGACTAACTGACCGGGCTAAAATAGGCTAACCTGTTAACTACTGAGCACAGCTAGCCACAACGCTACCCAGCTCTCCCCCTGTTATACAATGGTGTTTCAATAACTCGTTCACCATGAACAGATTTTTTTTAGCTTTTTTTAATCAATCAGGGAAAACTTTATCGGTCATTGGACATGCTAACATTACAGATGCTCCCAACTCGGCACACAGACCCTGCATTTTTATTATTGTCTGGACAACCCCAAGGTTTTACATCATGTGGCACATTCAACCAATCATATAGCGTGGCGTCACTGGCAGGCTCAAGTCCCAAGCAGATCTGGGACCTACACCAGCCACAACAGAAGGAAAGCCACACAGAGTATAAATACAGCAGACCCAGTGATGGGCGGCTTATTTTCTGGTGGAATATCATTGCATAAAGCATAATGAGCTATTTAAGCAGTAAGATGGTCAAAATCAAAATCCTAATGTTCAAAAATACTTTTCTTGGATCTTAATTATGCTCTCTAAAGGTGTTGTAGATCAATCACTATCAGGCATCTCACCAGGATTTTTATGAGGTAAATGGCATCATCACACAATTTGCATTTTATAGGCAAGTCAACATTGGCAGCTAGAAATGAAAAAATATTCCAAATATATTTAAAACACAGGAGGAACTTTATAAAATAATTTCTAGTATTCAATGATATTTTAACATTAAAGTCATAGAGGAGCGGCTGTTCCAACGGTTGCAGTTTCGAAATCTCCTGAGTGGTGCCCGATTTTACCAGAGTGAAATATGTGAATGTGATTGGTATCTTACCTTTAGTACATCAGCATCGCTGGTGCCAGCTTCTAGGATGCCGAGGCGCTTCAGCTGGCGTCCCAACAACGCCAGCATGGTGCTGTAGATGTGGTCGAGGCTGACACCAGGGGAACAGAGGGACAAACAGGAGCGCTGCACCTCCAGAACAGCCTCGTACAACTCAGCCTGGGCCGCACTGAATCTGTAGGAGGACAGAGAGACAGACCATCGATATGCACCAAGTGCTGTATGCTACCCGGAAAAATCTTTAAAATTAAGATAAACTTTGGTCAAAAGTTAAGCAGTATTGCTTTAAAATGATTTAACAATAATATTTTACCTTCCATTGACTGGCCATGTTCGAGTGATGTCACTGACGTAACCAAAGTACTCACAACCCCCATCAAGAAGAACCATTTCACCATCCTAATGAAGGAAACATCGAGGAAGAACTTACAGAATCAAAATTTAAGGCTGCTTGGTTTGAAATAGAAGAAAAACAAAAAAGAAACACTTTGACACTAATTTCTGTCCTTATTTACAATAGAATAAAAATGTATTTTAATTCTCCCACAGGGTGTGCAAAAAGGCAAATGTAGGCAAACAGATTCACACATTAGAGAAACTGTACAGACCCTGAAGAAAAAAAAAACCCAAAAAAGATTCAGATGTACTTGAAAGTCAGAATTTCTGACCTAAGAGTAGGAAAGTTCAGTTGCAGGGTTAGAGTCACAAGTTTAAAAGTTTTGGGTAATGCGACTACACCAAACTTCCACATTCAAGATGGCTGCTAACAGCTCCAACAGTGGTCAACCTGTCAAGTTTTGGATTTGAAAATAAGGGAAATCTGCTGTGAGCCATCCAACTACTCCAGGCAAGCTCCAGTATTCATTATATATTCAGACCTGCACAAGAAATCTAAACTAAACATTTGCAAATCATTGGTGGGTTGGACAGATTTTGACTCATGATGCTAGTGACAGTTTAATTTGGCAGATCACTGTTTTGTTTTTTGTTTTTTATATAATTTGATAATAAAATAATATGTGAAATTTACAGGAAACTGCTAATATGGGAGGACGACTGGAGAGATGGGTAAAATAAGGTATTTTCTAGCCAAAATGGGAGACTTTACAACTATGAGTTAAACTGTCCAACTTTGATAGTTTTTGGAGAACACCACAGCATCTATAAGCAGGAAACTGGAATGTTATCCATCGCTTCATATTTATGTAAAAACCTCAGAGAGCAAAATAAACAGAATCACAAGTATATAAAGCTACTTACTTGCATGAGTTCATCAACAATTGGCAAAAAAAATCCCACAAGCAGGGGAAACGGCAGCTTCAGGTGAAGAAACTACCTCCGCTGGCACGCCCATTCCTGCCACGCATGCTCAGGATCTCAGAGCGCACGTGTGATGCGGCTCTACTCGTGAAATAGTTTCTTTGAAGCACCAATGTTTGTGGAAAGCTGTTCTCTCAAAGATGCCTCTGCTCTCATGGAGCAATCAGGAGGAGGCTCAGAGAAGAGGTATGTCTCTGCCTACCTTTAAAAAGCTTTTTGCTTCTCGATAGGAGGATTTGGCCTGAGTGCAGCCATAAACGCGCAAGGGCAGAAACTCGTGCACATGTAGAACAACGCTGCACACCCGCTAAGCTATTTTCTGCCCCCGAAGTTTCACGTGCATGTGAACTCAGGCGCGAATGTAGTTGAATATATTTGCAAGCATGTTTATTTTGCTCTTGGAAGGTGCAAACCCTTGGGATTATATTCTTTATTTGACAGTAGGCTGACAAGAAAGGGGGTATGAGAGAAGGGGAGAGAAATACAGCAAAGGACCACAGGTCGGATTCAAGGCCTCCGTACATGGGTTGTGCGCGCAAACCACTGTGCCAACAAAGTACGCCCACCTTGGGATTGTATTATTCTGACTTCTTAGTTCCGAAGTAAATGATAGACAACAATACTGTGCAACTAAATGTGATGTGAAGTGTTCTTCTCACCCCTTTACAATCAAGTTTATAAGGCAAATTTGTTACGTGTAGCGAACGGTTCTGCTGGTGGTCTCTTCCTGTTAAAGGGGAGTTTTTCCTCTCCACTGTCGCTGCATGCTCACTCAGTGTGAGTGATTACTGAAAAGTCAACGACAAAATGTGAGCAAATATCTGTTGCCACATGCCTCTCCAGGAACCAAGTCCTGCAAGTTCGAGGACTTCATGCAATCAGCTAATTCTCTCTGTAAAGTGCCTTAAATGGTAAATGGCCTGTACTTATATAGTGCTTTTTTCAAGTCAGGAAACTTGACCAAAGTGCTTTACACTACTTTCAGTCATTCACCCATTCATGCACACACTGAGGGTGGTTAGCTACATTGCAGCCAGAGCTGCCCTGGGGCTCACTGACAGAATACACTGGCGCCACTGGGCCCTCTGACCACCATCAGTAGACAATGTAGGTGAAGTGTCTTGCCCAAGGACACAACGACACTGAAAGCCGGAACCGTTTGAACAGTCAACCCTTCGATTTCAGGGCAAACTCCTACACCCGATGCCACTGTCGCCTTGAGATAAGTGCGTGTATGAGTGTAATTATATGCATAGTTTCAAAGATTTTTATTGGTTTAATGATTTGGATATGTTTAGAATAAATCAAATCACATCTTTCAGGTGCTTCAGAAGAGTATTAATAGAAAAAAAATTTTTTAAATGAAAGCTTGGATATAAACAAACTTATCAAGATGGTTGGAAGCAGTGAAGATTATAAAGCCAAACAGCTGTAGGGAGTTCATGCATGAGCTAGGAGACGCTGCCCAACAGGGTTTTTTATATGTTATAACAATACAGATAGTGTTTGTAACCAGATAGTCTTTAAGGATTACTTCAATTAGTTAGTCTTGTTTATTAAAAGAATAACGGAAGTCATATCAATTTTTTTTATTTTAGTTGATCACCTCCAGTTTTTTCAAATGTGGTAGAATTGCCTTTTTTACTGTTATTTAGTCAAAGTGTTAGGATTATAATTTTTTAAGCCATTAAGAATGTTTTATTAAAAGTTCCTTTATTCAATGCAGTGATGGGATAATTTGAAAGACCTCCTAAACAATCAGAGGGATTCATCAGACTCAAAAACTCTTGTATCATTATTCTGAGGCCCAGCTTTATACCTCAAGCACAATTTATGTCTGATTTATTTATTTGATTTTTATAGGTGATAAGAGGCTTTTTTGATGCCCTTCTTATCACATGTCTTTAATGTGGATCAAACTTAAACATTGCTCCCAGCTGCATTTCATCATGGCTTTGGCTGGAAACTTTGATTACCATAAGTTCAATTTCTTGAAACAGAAAACTGCATCAATAGTCCATGAATCTTTCGCCACAAATAAACAGCAACTGTTTAGATGAAGCTAAATTTTTCAAACCACACCTTTGATGTAATGATTACCTTGATGATCTGGTTGTTGTTAATGTAATGCAGAGTGTTTGCTCGATTCCCTCCGGCAACCACAGGGGGATAGGCCAGGAAATTGGCACCGTGGATCCGATTCTCGAAATCAAACTGGAAAAATAAACAGTAGTTTATTAAGAGAGTCTTTAGGGTTATTTGCATTCTTATTTTTCCCTCTATTCAATTAAAGATATCTTATGAAAAAAAAACAAAAAAAAAAAAACAAGCTATTTTAATGAGATGATTTGCTTCATAAAGAACCTGGCCCTTTTTGAAATATTTCCCCCTGCAGAAAGGTGACAGTAACAGGCTGAGCCATTCTCAGCGGCAGAATCTACAAAGATATTTTTAACAATAATTGGAAACCTACTACGGAAGACTTTTCATCATTTTTTCCTCCAAATTATTTCAACTTACTCCCACAGGTAGTTTTTGAGCATGAAAGACCTCAACAGAATCATAATACAGCAGTGAGGACCATCCTTACTCTTTGTCCCATGAGCAGTAAGAGAAAGAAACCAAAAACCGTAAAAGAAGTAATAACCAGTAGAAAGCCTGAGAGTCGGGGCAGCAGTTTTTACCAGGGGCAGACAATTTATGAGGGAGCTGGGCTTCAATACGGAGGGGGAAGTTTCAGGCTTCCTGTCAGACAGATATATTTCAATATAAAGTAAAGTTTTCCCCCTTTCCCACCTAATGGCTCCGACGTTGCAGCTTAGTTGGTGTTATTTTTATTACGACTGGTGCAACCGCGTAATGTTGGCTTTTCTTAGTTTGTTGATCTACCTGGTGACAGCAGCTTTTTCGCCCCCACTCCCAGTATAAATTATTTTGTGGGAACCAAGCATGACCAACAGTGCAGCTGACGGCCTTTTGAGTTGCCTTGTTATACCTAATGTCTGTTGGACATTTTTCATTTGCCTGAGCGGCTTTATCGGTGACGACGCCCCCTCTTGTGATTTCAGTCTCTTTTTTTATTACCCATCTGAATTGGTTGAGTCCTGTGAATTTAGATAAAGATGGCTTCCATAGCTATGTGGAGTGCAGTGTTGTGCTTCAGGCAGATGATGGCTACAGCCTGTCCCCTACCTGCCTTGGGCATGATCACCTTAGGGAGGCATTGTCTGAAAACCTCTGCATTAACTGTGGCTTCATGCCCCACGTTGGTTGGCCCAGCTTTGGCCTCATGATGACTCGGACCTCCCCCTCTCTAGGCAGGTCGCCCAATACAAGCCTTCAATGAACCATGGCGATACCACAGTCTCTCCGCTACCCTCTAGGAGGAAGCGGACAAAGCCTGACCATGGCCTGGACTCAAGGCAATGGAGTCTTCCTTGCAGACATGTCAGTCTGATTCCTCACTCCCAGTGACCGAGCTCTCCTCCCCTCCTGTGCCTGATTTGTATAATGTTAGGATGATGTTTTGTCTCTCCCTGAATATGCCTCTCACTTTAGAGATAATTATGAGGATGAGGAGGCGTGGTACTCTCATGCATCTGACACTTGCTCTTTTTCATCCTGGAGCACAGTTGGGCATTGTCACGACCCAAGGGCGTTGTTGCCTCCATCCACAGATGGCCAGTTGCTGGTTGCCTTTATGCTGATCAGAGAGCTTGGTTGTGTCATATCTTTTCTCGGTCTAGCTCATCAACCGGTTTGTCTCCTACAGTCTCACCTGATAGAGGCATGCCATAGGACCCTCTGGCGTGTCCAAGTTGTGCCAGGGGAGTTGGTAAGATCAGCTGGTCTCGATGAGCTAGAACGGACTGTTTAGGCTCGTCAGACCAGCCAGCAGCTTTCTCTGGGGGAGTATGCCCAATTCCTTCCCAGTGTTTGGTCATGGCCTAGTGAAAGCCTGATTGTTTCTTTCCCCATAAGGTTCAGTAAAGACCTAGCAGAGTCTTTTGTGAGCCTGTCCGCTGCTGGAGCACAGTTGGGCATTGTCACGACCCAAGGGCGTTGTTGCCTCCATCCACAGATGGCCAGTTGCTGGTTGCCTTTATGCTGATCAGAGAGCTTGGTTGTGTCATATCTTTTCTCGGTCTAGCTCATCAACCGGTTTGTCTCCTACAGTCTCACCTGATAGAGGCATGCCATAGGACCCTCTGGCGTGTCCAAGTTGTGCCAGGGGAGTTGGTAAGATCAGCTGGTCTCGATGAGCTAGAACGGACTGTTTAGGCTCGTCAGACCAGCCAGCAGCTTTCTCTGGGGGAGTATGCCCAATTCCTTCCCAGTGTTTGGTCATGGCCTAGTGAAAGCCTGATTGTTTCTTTCCCCATAAGGTGCAGTAGAGACCTAGCAGAGTCTTTTGTGAGCCTGTCCGCTGCCCAAATACCCCAAGGCCTCAGATCCTACTCGCCCCTCCTCCAAGGCTTGCAAGGGCCAACTGGATCGAAAATTATGCTACTGGGTCAGCCGTCGGACACCGTCACTGTGGACCCACGGATGGTTGCCCCCTTGATGGCTACAGGCTACACTTCTGACAGCGTGCCCCCTTTTCTTGCTGGGTCAAAATTACTTATTACCAACCCGATCAAATCCCAAGCGATGTACCAGGATCTTTCTGTTCTCCTGACCAAGGGCACAATAGAGGCTGTAGACCCTCTGCGGCAATGAAGAAGCTGTTCAAGGTACTCTGTTGTGCCAAAGAAAACTGTTGGTTTTCGCCGCATTTTTGATTTGAGGGCATTTAATCTATACCGAAAGGTCCTTCCATTCCACATGCTCATGACATCAGAGGCTCTATAGGGCACTGCGAAGAGTTTACATTAATAGATCTGAAAGACTCCTACTTGCAACGACCTGGTTGGCAAAACATTGGAGTCACCAATGGCGACTTCCAATGCTTCCATTCTGCCTCTCTCTTATGGCAAGGGTGTTTACTCTGTGTATGAAAGGGCTTCTCTCTCCTCTGCAGACTTCAGGCATCAGGATTCTTCCCTACATGGTTGACTGGCTTCTTCTCACCCACTCTTGGGTTTCCCTAAGTCACCTTCCTGCAGATGCAAGGCAAACTGACTTCTGTCACTTGCGTCATGTGCTCTTGAGTTTGATCTTTCTTTTCCCTTTTCAAAGGTGACTCAACACCTTTCGTCTCGATGCCATCATGCACAGTCATCACAGACTCACAGTGTCCCTGGCCCCATGGCGAAACAGGACTTGTTCAAGGGTGTGACTATGGGAATAGTTGTGTGTCGCAGGGAGGCGGTCACCATAGATGTCAGTCTCAGGGGCTTGGGTGTTATTTGGCAATGTACAGTAGTTTACAATCTTTGGGGGTCAACTATCAGGTCGCAGACTCTCTCTCTCTCACCAAGGCCCTGCTTCCAGAACAATGGTTCCTTTACCACGATGTGGTGCGACATAATTTGGGACTGCTTTGGTCAAGCAGAGGTGGATCCGTTTGCCAAAGAGGAGTCAACTCATTACCCTCTGTGCTATTCCCTGAAGAGGGCATTGGGTTTCATTGGGCCAGAATGCACTAGCTCATCCCTCCTGTACGTTTTTTATGCTCTCTCACTGATTTGGCCTACTCTACATAGGGTTCTCGAAGTAAACTATAAACTGCTGCTGGTGGCGCCATCATGGCCTGCCAAACCATGGTTCCCTCTGCATTAGTGGCTGTGAAATGGGGTCCCATTGAGTTTTTCACTGCTGTCTCAGTTGGTGGAGAATATGGCACACCAATCATCAATGTCTTTAGCTGTGGGTATGGCCCCTGGGGGGCTCAATGTGTGTTCTGACTCTGCCAGGCTCACCACAATGAGTGCTAGGGCACCCTTAAATCAAAAGCAATGTAATGACATATTATTTCTCAGTGGTGTTCTGCCGACAACAAGGTCCCAGTTTTCCTGCTCAGTGCCCACTGTTCAGAAGTTTCTCCATACTCTAGAAGGGTCATTCTCCTTCAGATTCTAGTGTCTATGTGGCAGCAATCTCATGTCATCACACATCGGCTGTTAACTTTTCGGTGATGGGCCATGGTCTGGTCTCTCATTGTCTATGTGGTGTTTGTAGGTTGCACTTGCTCCTCAAGTGCCTAATTAGGATAGGTTCTCAACGCTTTACGAGCTTCACCTTTTGAGCCCTTGGTAAAAGCAGACCTCAAGTGGCTCTCATATATGACCGCCTTTTTGTTCGTTAGCTATTATTTCAGATAAGAGGGTTGGTGAGCTACATTCCTTTTCTGTCAGGTACTCATGTCTCAGATGGGAGCCAAATTGTTCTGGTGTTACCTTCTGGTCCAAGACTGAGTTTATACCCACGGTGCTGTCCCATTTGCAAAGTAACTAGCCAGGTTGGCCCGATTTCAGCCGCAGTCTGGTACGACTAAGGAGGGCTCTGAATTGTTGTGCCCTGTAGGGTGCTGGAGGGATATATCGCCGTCACTATTGCTGTAAGACACTCAGACCAGCTTTTTGTGTGCCATAGAGGATCCAGGCGGGACATTCCTCTTTCTAAACAACATTTCTCCCACTGGAGTGTTGATATTATCTACCACCATGCTATGACGGGGGTTTCCACTGGAGGCCACATGTGTTGCCACATCATGGGCCTCTTGAAGCAGATTCACCAGATTCTACAAGGTCGACATTGCTGCCCCTCATCCCCTGGGTCAGATATGGCTAAGCTAAGAGCTAAGCAGAGCACCTGCTTTCTTTTTTTTAATGCTACTTCATCTGAGGAAGACTCAGTGGCTAGATTGTATTTTAGATGAAAATCTACCTGAAAAACTTCAGATGGTTTTGCATCTGTGTACTGAGCATTTCACAGAGGATTGCTTTCACAACATTGGTGGTAACAAAGCAGGCTTCTCCAGACACCTTAAAATGAAGACTTGATCAATACCGGCTGTCCATTACAAAGCTCAGGTAAGAGCTGGGAATCTACTTTTGTTACTAGCAAATGTGAGGCATATATGCCAACTTTTTAATTTATTTATTGAAAGGTTGTTTACTGTCTAGGGTTTAAAGCAATCCCTTGAAGAAAAAAAAAAAAAAACGGGATTATTCCATATTTTGAAGAAATGCTCCTTGCTCTGTTGTTGACATGAATAGAATGAGATTTCTCCATATTTCTGATGTATTAAAAAAAGTGTATTATACCCCTTTCCCACTGGCCGAAAAAGCAGTTTAAACCCAGAACAGTTGGCTTTTAGTGGCAATGGGAACGGCTGACTGATGTGTGTCTACCTGGGTCAAACGAGTTGGCAAGTGACCTGCATTAAAATCGGCTTGGCTCTGATCAGAATGCTGTGGGAACACCTGCTAAATTATGTGATACTACTGAGCGCAATGTATGGATGTCAACACACTGTGCAAGAAATGTCTGATCGAACAAGCCGAAACAAATCTGTTTACATTCAATAAACATGGCACAGCATTTAAAGAGTGATAAAGACAGATAAAAGAGTGAAACAATGAAGAACACTAACTATGCCCTGACTTGCTTACTCTCCATTATTTACTTTCCTGATTTCTGTCGCACTGGTGACAGCATCAACGCCAACCTAGAGTGATGGTGTCACCAGACACGCAGCAGTGATTAGGAGTTAGACCCAGCTTTTTTTTGTCAATAGGAAGGGAGCCAAATGCCCATTGTTAGAGGGTCAACCCGTTATAAAAACACTTGTAAATCCGGAGTTTTCAGTGGGAAAGAGGCTTTGATCGAATGAGGAGGTTATTGGTACTAGGGATGGGGATCGAAACCCGGTTCTATCAAGGACCCGGTTCCACTTTTTTCAAAACCCGAAAATCAATAAAGTTTGGGCTTATCGATACCACTATCGAGTCTGGTCGTTTTTTGTTTTTTTTTTTCTCCCGGAGGTCCTGTAACATAATTGTGTGTCCCTCGAGTCGCGTCACAGCATTTAAATCTAATCAATCCAATCACTGCAGCATGTCCACCAATGTTTTGGAATGAAATTGTAAGCAAACATATTAAAAGTAAAACAAGTGAAGTCTGGCAGTTAACTTTGCTCGCGACTCGAGGATGGCTGAACGGAAAAGACTCCTCCTCCGGCTGCTGCCGCCGCACCACAGTCAGGCCCGTCTTCATCATCCACTCAGAGTACCACTGGTAAGCGAAAACACAGACTTTGTAGCTTGTCCGGTCAGTTAAAAAAAGTAATTGTGAAATCCGTCTTGTAATCGGCAGCATACAAGCTAGTTAGCTTGAAAAGTAAATAAAGTTTCAGACGTGCTGCGTGATGATGTGTTCAGATTGGCTCGGTAAAACGACAATTAGGTTATCATAATGCGTTCAAGTGTAACGTAAAGAAAACGGGAAATTGAGTTTTTGGCGAGAAACATGAGTAATACAGTTGTATATTGCTCTAATTATTTTAGAATATATAATTAAACTACTGATGCCAAAATTTATTAAAAATTACATTTAATTTAAAATACAATTATTTATTTGTTAAATATTTTCCTAATCACTAAAAACATGATGAAAAGTGACAATAGACAATACATTAACCAACAATTGTGAAAATATATTCTAGTTACTTTTATGTCATTTCAAAGTGGCCTATTACATTAGCCATGTTTATTGAAGGCTAGAAACATTTTTGTTATGCTCACTTGTTAAGCAATAAAAGCAATACCAGTTCTGTTAAAAAAATATTGTCGCATCGTCTTTCCACCAAATAACAGAAAAGTATCGATAGCGGTATTGATAAAGACTCGGATCGATAAGGAGTATCGATAAAGGTATCGATATCAATAAATATTAACGATTGGCTTATGGTTTATCTAATCTGAGAGGAATTTTCCTTATCAAACAGCAAAAACATGCTCTGGAGGGCTTATTGTTACGTTTTTTCACTTTCAAATGTTGTATTATACAGACCTTTTATTCATGATATAATAACGAGGCATTACAATTTTCACACAGGATTGCACCGGTTTAAAACTGCTCTTTTTACCTTAAATGATAAAACAGTAATCTTCTTTAGCATTCTATCAGCTTTTTTTCTGATATTAAAATTCCTTTGATGACCTTAAAGATGAAGTTGTGAGAAAACATTGCAGAAATCTCTAAAGTAGCAAATACTTCTTCACTGTACTGTGAATAACCAACATTAATCTATACGAGTGTAGATCGGTGATGGTTAGCCGATGTCTTAAAAAATAAACAAAAAAAAACAGATAAAAATGCTTACTGAGTTCTAAAGTTTGTTATTTCTTCTTCTTTGTGACATTCTTAAAAAAACACTTATCAGGGTTCACACAATCTAAACCCTACCTTAGCAAACAAGACAGACTCATCGACATCTCCTTGCGACAAAGCCATTGTCCTCTTAAATGCCTGAAGGGAAAGAATATTGATTCATGTTTCAAATCTACTCGATCTGTTAAACACAATAACATTTTAAGGTATAAAACCACTGACGCACCTGAGCTGTGATCCGGCCTGCCTCTTGCATTAGCGATACCTCTGCATTACTTTTAATGGCCCGGAGGGAGTGTATGAGGGGCCCAATTGAACGCGGGATGGGTCCTGCTTCCAGCATGGGCAGAACATGAACTTGGTGCAGCCGAGAGTGAGCAGGCTCAGAGGTGTCATACCAAAGCTGATTTCCTGGGGGGAAAGCAGACCAGAAGAACTTAAAAAAAAAAAAAAAAAAAAGATCCAAAAGAAGTTTAATCAGGCAAAAGTTAAAATTTATGATGTCATGTTCTTCACCATCAAGCTTGCTCAACAATAGATTACAATTCATCCTCTTATTTCATCAAAAAAACTGATCTGAGAACAAGAAAACAGTTTTTTAAATATGTGTATATTCCCTTAATTTGAGCAAGTTAATACAATGATCAGACAAAGGAATTCATATTACTTAAAATTAGATAGATATTATGGATTTAAAAATACAACAAAAGCTGTTTTTCTTCATTTTAAACAAGTTATTCCATTGGCAAATTTTCTTACCTGCTCAGATTAAGGGAAACTACCTTTAATTTTTGCAGTAATATGATTTCAGTGACAGTAGAAAGCAATAAACCTTTAAGAAGTACAGGTAATGCAAGACAGCAACAGAAGCTGTTCAGTTTGCAGAGACATATTATCACAGTGTCCATCTGATCAGAGAAGGCAGATGATGAGAAGAATCTGAGGAAGAAAACAACGTGAAGAAAAGGAGTTTGATTTTAAAGCGCTGGCTGCATTTGGATGCTCAACAATAGGACTGGGAGACAGACCTTAGTCAAGGGGAAATTCCCTGCAGGTAAATGCTCAGAGCAGACCCACAATCTGAGTGTTTTATGCTTAGTGGTATCAAAAAACATAGTATTGATTCAGCTTTTCAGGTTGTCCCTGTGCAGCTGTTCTACTCTGCAAGAAGTTGGGGACCCAAGTGCATCCCGCTCTCCATGCCTTGTGATTGCCGATGCTGCCGGCATCCCCAGTCCTTTCCATGTTGATAGAACACCAACAGTGGCCTGCAAAATATCGGGTAGCATAGACCTTTTGATCCGGTGTTATCCTGTCACGGAACCACACTGGAATTTACTGAACTCCTAGTAAGATACTCAGCCAAATCAACGATACAGTGGAAATGATTATCGGTGCCTGGATAAATAATTTAAAAGAAACTTTAACACTCTGATTGCAACTGGGCAGAGAGGAGGCCATGAGGATGGCAGGAGGGCCAGTCCTTAAGGACCGGTATACTGCAATGTTTAGAAATAATCCTGGTCCAACACACCTGGATCAAACAGCTGAGTTCCCTTCTCACTATGTATTTAGAGGCTGCATCTGAAATCCTCAAATGCGTAAGGACTCTTTAGCCAAAACTGAAGAGCACCGTGATTGATAAATGTCGCTATAGAAGTGCTGGCTGTAAGGAAGAAGATAGGAATGCAGCCTGTATGCTTCTTATCCTAGTTCCTTTAGCATAGAGAGCTTGCAAAGTTAATTACTGGCTGTAAGGTGCACTAAGGAATCCCACAATCCTGTGCATGTAAGGTTCTTCACATGGATTGTGCAACTCATGAAAATGTATGATCTGGAATGTAGAGCTAAATTGGTCTCAATTTTCACAAATACCCATATGTGATTTATACATGCACATTACAAGATCCACACACACAGAGAAAGATTCACACAAGCATACATTTACAAATGCACATCACATGACTCCCCAAATTTCTGGTCCATATAAACTCATAAATTAAATTACAAAGTACCAGTAGTCTTTAAACTTCACTGTATTTGTGTGTGGATTTTTGAGACTCACCTGACATGCCTTGATACACAAATGCACCTGGGATGACCATCTGCTCCGCTCTGGTCCGGTGTTCTGACAGCTCAGATGGCTCAATGGCTTCAGATTGTGCCAGTAGGCTCAGAAGGTTGTTATCACCAAGTGAATCCTGATTCTAACCCTAAAGTAATTCCTTTCGTGGAATTAATTAATCTATTTATGTGTAATCTGAAAATATTTTCAGTATTTCTTCATGTGCTGTAAAAAAAAATAAAATAAAATGATCCGGATGTCGCTCATATTAAACTAAAAACAAATTAATCTCATATCCTGTCAAAAGGGTTGTAGAATCCTCTCCCTATAAATATTTAGTTGTGAAAAAATGCCAATCATTCTCATCTAACCGACATGCAATGTTTGTTTTTAAAACTAATATGTGTAACACAGGCATAACTTTCTGAAGGACTGGTGTGGACATGTCCCCACCAATAATTTCTGCTTTTTTTCCCCTTTCGGCTCATTTACTTTAGCCAAGGAGTTGGGTGCAGCTAACTGTTCAGAACGTTTTGAGTCAGTGTTTTTTTTTCCTCTCTCGCGCTGCTCCCATGTCTCACCTCTCAGTGTAACATCATCGGATCTGTCGCTTTGAGACACCTGATTTGTGGTAATTTCCCTGCGTACAGAGTAATTACCTAGTTGGAGGAGAGACACACAGCAGCACTCAGTGAATATTAACCGGCAGCTACTTTGATGTTTAAATAAAAGTTAGGAGACGGGTTGGTTTAAAAAAAAAAAATTTAAGAGATCATGCCACGGAAAAATCTGTTCGTTAGACATACAGAGTTTTTTCAGCTAAAAATGGCAACAGATTGTACATTTATACAAGTCAGTATTATATTGCAAGAGGCTTGAGAAAACATAGTTTGTTCTTAATTACTAGTTTAAAAAGCTTGGCTTCTCAGAGCACCATGACTCCCAGTTACAGATTAAAATGTTTTCTTATTGTCCAGACAGAATCAGACAGTAGAGCTTCTACGTATCTTGAAATTTTGTTTCTGGTGTCATTATATTAGTAAAGAGGTTCATAAATCTTTTTAAAAAGAGCAGAGAGAGAAGTGGGGACAGCTGCAGATTTAAAGGTGAAACAGATTTACTGGGATATGCAACATGCAATAAAATAAATAAAAGTTTACCAGAAAGTTTACAAAAAAAAAATATACTATGCTATATTTAACATGCAGCACATCCAGATTTTTTCTGGATGGATGGAACTGAAATTGTATTCCTAGAGATGTATGATATATCGATTTTGGCATCGGAATTGGCTGTTATTCGTTATGAAAGCGTTTGGGTTGAGTAACTGTAGGTCCATCACCCACCAACGAGTTTCCCCACCAACTTTCATTACAAATTTACACCCTTGGTGTGTAACACACCTAGTGAGTGATTTTTTTGTTGCTTTATGCACAAACTATTACAGAAACCTGATTAAATTGCTAAACAAAACAGCGTGATTGGATGTAAGGAGTGCAGAGACAGAAGAAACTCTATGTAATACGTATTACTAAGGGTATGCTGGCCTGACGCGGTTTGCTGAGCTGACAGAACACTGGACCAGAGCGAGGCAAATAGTCATCCCACGTGGAGTAGTTTCTTGTGATTGGCTTATACAAGGAAACTCTGTGAGTGTTTGGAAACCATCCCCTGTGTAAAAAAAATGCATTTGTGTATTGAGGCACGTCAGGAGAGTCTTAAAATCCACACACATATGCAGTGAAGTTAAAAGACCACTGGTACTTTGTAAATTAATTTATAATTGTTTATGGACCAGAAATACTTTGGCAAATCATGCGCTGTGCATCTGTGAATGTTATATGCGTGCGTGAATCGTTCTCTGCGTGTGTGGATCTTGTCCTGTACATCTATGAATCACATATGTGTATTTTGAGTGAAAATTGAGACCGGTCCAACTTAATGCTGGAGAAATTCAGCCATTGTGTACCTTGTGTTATTTGTAGTTCACACAGCAGCCAGAGTGATCCGATTTTTTTTTGCCCATATGCGACCAGTATCTGATCTTTAATGACGGTCTGAACAACACGGATCAGATTTTTTTTTAGATGCGGCTCAGGTCAATTCTCTATGTGGTCCTGAATCCGATACATATCTGTTCTTTTCAAATGCAACCTGTCTCTGAACAGCCAGGTCGCATTCATGCGATCTGAACTCAAAAAAGGTTCCTATTTTGCTTATTGCAAAGTGGACAGTGGAAGATAACGTAAAGAGCAGTCTTTCTGATGTAGGTGAAAAGATTGCTTTGTTACTTCGGACGCGGCAGATGGCCGCTCACACTGAGCCTGGTTCTGCTGGAGGTTTCTTATGTTAAAAGGGAGTTTTTCCTCTCCACTGTCGCTACAAGTATGCTTAGTGTGAGGGATTGCCTTCGAGTAAATGTAATGGTTTTGCTTAGAAAGATAACTTTGAATCGATTTGACTGTATGATCTGGTTGAATTGTAAAGTGCCTTGATATGACTGGTGTTGTGAATTGGCGCTATATAAATAAACTGAGTTGATCTGAATTGAATTAATATGCTGCCTCAGGTAGGAATAGAAATGAAAGATCTCTAGATGCCTTCCAGCATTGCTGTCCATGCTTACTTCCATATACACAGAGCATGCTCGCTACTTGTGATGTCATTGCATCATCTACTGCGCAATGCGGGAGAGTTAAGCTGTATGAATGCAGTTCATACAGGAGATCACATACAAGTCACATATATTTGGAAATGTGAATGACCACGCCAAATAATCTGATTTCACACATATATATATATATATATATATATATTTTAAAAAATGGAATTGAGGTGATGCTGAGAAACTAGTCCATGCATTTGTTACTTCAATGATAGACTATTGTAATTCTTCACTATCAGGGAGTTAACAAACTGTAGTTAAAAGCCTTCAGCTGATCCAAAATGCGGAAGCCAGAGTTCAGATGAAAATTACAAACAGAGATCATAGCTCTCCTACCCTTGCTTCTCTTCACTGGCTTCCAGTTAAATCCAGAAAAGAGTTTAAGATCCTAAACTGCTAGTGTTTTTGTTTTTTCTGAAAAAAGCTTTGTAAATCTTTTATAAAGTAGCGTGTCCATACATAGCAAGGGAGTTTGGTTCCAGGTGTTAATGGATACATACTAATACTAAATAAAAAGCTGCAGCTACAGATATATACCAACCTAAATAATGCTGTATAATCACCACAGGTTTTTCACTCCACACACGGGTATCTAAGGGATACCTTTTTCTCTTGAAGCTTTTTTTTTTTTTATATTCATTTTGGTTTTCTGTTGTCTTCTTTTTGCTGTTGGCATCTTCCCTGTTTTCTGTACCTCTCATTTCATACAGGTGTTGGAACAGACTTCTAGGAGTTACTGAATATCTTCTGTGCTCTCTACTTTTGCTGTTTTGTTTTATTTTATTTTCTCTCTTTTAATGCACTCTTTTCTGTCTCTATCTCTTTCTCTCTCCCCTTAGTTCTTATCCCTGAAGCTGTTGGACTATCATCTAGCTCTGGGGCATCTATTCCCAGAGCTATATTGGCAAAACAGAACAAACACACAAAAAAAAAAGAATTTCAAATCCTCCTTCTCGTGGATTTAAGCCCTAAATAATAACGCCCTACCTTATATCGATCTGGGAATTTCCTATTTCTTCCTTTTTTAAGAGCAGAGGAAATGATAAAATATTAAGTTATATTCTAAACCTCTTAACTTTCTTAACCCACCAAGTTAAGGCATTTTCTACATGCTTTAAGTAGAATAGGTGGAGGGAGTTGATTTGCAGAGATAGTTTGATTCTGCCAAAAACAGAAAACATAAAGGAAATGATCTAGAACATTTGCAAAGTACTGTTTGGCAAATATAGCTTATTCAAGCTAAGCCCGTTTTAAATGAGTTTCACTGAACAAGGCTTAGTTGGTACAATTAGAGACCAGAAAACTTGTAATACATTTTTATTTTAAAGATGTCATGTTTCTAATCAGGTTTTCTGCACCTTTAAGAAAGGTCTGGCCTCTTTTGGATCCACCCTACCTCCGTCTCCACTCACCTTTAAGGCTCTTTAAAACAAGGCCCAGTTCTTCTATGCTGTGAACTCTTTCTATGCCCGTCAAAGCAGCAGCCCCGTCTTTTCCTGCCCGGGGACCGTCCCACAGTTCCCTTCCTGGATCTCTGCGGGGCACAAACAAGATGGCCTGGTCCGGTCGAGCCCTCCCATACAGAACCAAGGCACTGTCAGGCTCTAGGAAGCCTGTGAGGTAGAGGAAATCCTACGAAACATAACAACCAAGAATTAACTAAAAGATCTAGTGGAGGTATAGTGGAGGATGTTCTTTTTCCAGGTGGATCATCAAATTATGTGATCCTCCTAATTGTCATTAATTCTTGTGATATGTTTACCTAAGGCCATCCTACCTGCTCGTCCACATTTTCACTAACCAGTGGTGAGTCTGACATAGTGGAAAAATTGCAAATCTTCTTTTTGAAAGTAAGCTTGTAGTAGCGATGCAAACAGCAACTTTTACACAGAGCGTGCACAAGGAGAAATAGGCTTGTGCACGCTCTCACACGTTTATTAGGCATTTATTGGGAGTGGGTACAGTGTTGTGCATATACATTTTTTTTTTTTTTTTTTAAATCAAGAGGGCAGGTCTTTGGAAAAAAATACTAAAATCCTCCACTATAGCTTTCAGTAATGACAGAATCAATGCTGGTCAATATCTTCAGACTAATGTCAAAATCAGTATTGATCGATTTCTAGTTACTGCTAAACGAACCTGGTTCTGGTGGAAGGGATATGGGATGTCGTTGGTCATGTAGCGTACGGGATGGGATAAAACAATGACCACGTGGTTCCCAGAGGAGGCTGAGGCTCCTAGCTTGTCTGCATGGGCCTCAATGAGCAGGGCCAGCTTTTGCCTGCGGAGCTCATACTCAGTCTGTGTTATGCCCGGGGTCACCTCACCTGAGGGGCAGAGAGAACAGAAGTTCTGGCTGCCTGAAGATAGCATCAAGCCTCTTGGTGTGTGTGACTAACTAAGGTTAAAAGCAGCTTGAATTGAATCATAAAAAGCATTCACCATGTTTGATGAGGTGAGGATGAGTGAAAGGGCTGGGCTGGCCAAGGTACCGAGGTGGGACAGTCTTTGGTTTCAATCCTCCTGGTTTCACCGAAATATGTCTGCACCAAATGCAACCTGTAGAAAACGCAGAGGGACATGAATCACCCAAAATGTTTACAGTTTGTAACCTCTGGTAAAATCTTACAAAACTGTTTAGTGGAGAGGGTTGGGTGCAACCAGAAATTCAAGGCTTATTTCAAAGGGAGGGGAACATTATTTTCAGTCCTGAAATAGAGCATTTCTTTTAAGGCAGCTTAGTCAATTTAAGGGTGTAGAAACATAATCCTTCTTGACATTTTAAAAGAAACAATCAGAGCTACAAAGTGGTAAAACAAGGAAGTGAAGATAAGCTGTTACAAGGAGCTCCCTTTAGCCCTTATATATATATATATATATATTTATATAAAGTTCCACATCTAATATGAAAAATAAACCAACTAAATAACCGACTTAGATTAAAAGAAATGCTTGAAGAGAGAAATTAAAATAAGGAAGATACTCTAATTAAACCATCTTTGATCTTTAACTGGTCTAAATTCAGTAAATGCGTCTAAAAACCAACATCTGCTATCAAATTATTAATCAACAGTAAACAAAAAGTCAACAAGTTCTTCCATTAGCAAAATAAGTGTGTGCTGCCTGCAGCCCTGTAAGTGTTGGCTCTCTTTGAAGCCCCTATGTGGACGTCTGCAGATGCAGCTCTGATTTGTGGGATGCTGCTAATAGGCATTGTCTCGACACACAGCTGCTAGCTTCTTCTCCTGGAAATGACTTCTGAACCAACATGAAACAGCAACAATGGGATTGTTTCTTAAAGGAGTTGATATTATTGTCATACCTTACGTATTACAATGGGTTGAACTCCTCTAGAGGTGCTGAGTGCCTCTTACTGTGTCCAGGACTCTACTGTGTGTCAGTGTTTAGATTTTAGAGAAGAAACAGCAGCAGAACTCTAGATAGTTTTAATTTTCGCTGGATGTGCTTGATCTTAGATCTTGGACACAAACTTATAAACCGTAAAAATCCTTAAATGAGTAACACCTTGCAAAAATAAAGCAAAGAAAACAAATCCTGACATTTCAAAATATCATAGATTTGAAGATCTTTTTAAATCTAATGTTGACAAATCACTATGCAGGAAGCTGACACACCAAAAGTGTGTCAGCTAAAAGTGAATCATAAGGGTCATCCAAGTGTTAGTTTAAGGATTTGCACATTTATTCAACTGAGTTTTAAAAGTTTATTTTAACTTTCCTTCTTTTTTAACTGTTAATTTAATTTTACATGACGCACAGTATTAAAGATGGAAGAAGTGGTATTAGGATTTATTAGCACCTCATTTAAAAAAAACTTAATTTAACATGAATTCTTAGTGTTTTGTATTGAAAGAAACAAAGAAATTACACATGAGGATAGAATGAAAGATGTGGAAATACAGAAGGCGGGATAGAAGGGAGGACAGATGGGAGGTGAATGAAAACGACACAAGAAAGCAGGGGAGAAGTAAGACAAGATATGAAAGGAAAGGATGTGCAGACAAGGAAAGTAATTTAGGGAGGACACACGGAAGGCAAGATTTAAGGACGGATAGAAATACGGATATAAGGATGGAAGAACACAACAAGGAAAACAAAAACAGAAAGCAAAGAAGACAGAGAGGGACAGAAAAAGAGAGATAAAGGCAGGGGTGAAGGTAAGCCTGATCGGTCCGGTACCAGTAAAATATTTAGGGGCTGTATACGCATTTCCGGGAAGACGTAATGCCAGGGATTTTGTGCCACAAACGCTTGTTCAATACGTGTCTGGTGCGCACTTCTCTGTGTATGCGGTTGCACTCTGCCCTGGTGGTGCACCAACTCATGAGAGATGATGGAAAACTTTCATTAATTTCCACAAAAAGAAACCCCATATCGAGGATATATATCTAATTACCTTGCTGATTATTTTTGGATGAAGACCCAGATGAAAAGTCATACAGACCTTCTTCGATATTTCTCAGGCATTGTTCCTATTTTTCTATCCATTCAATTAGGATGTAAATGGCTCCCTTTACTGTCATAAATATCATTATTTTCATGAATATTTTAACATTTTAGTTTAATTTTTTAAATCTAATTTTGATTACCATACCATCAGACAGTTCTAGAGGTTCTTATGTCATAAAGACTGTATGAAGTGATTAAAAAATGAAGGGATGTCATGATGGGTGAAACTGTTATAACCATTAGTTTAGGTTTCTTTCAACAAAGAGCTTTGTAGATGTTGCATCAACCTGTTTATAGCAAAAAGGAAACACATTGCAATTATGCCAATAAAGTTTTTTTAAATCTACTAAAGGCATTTGGCACAAAATACTTCAAAAATGGCTGCCTTTAACAGTTTTCCAGAAGAAAAACAGGTCAGGGTGAATAATGGGAAGCTGTAGAAAGGAAAGCCATGCCATTGATGCACTGCAGTAGGTAAAAATAAAGGATACAAAGGAAAGTAAGAGAGAAAGGAGAACACAAGGGAGTATACAGGTAAAAAATTAAGTCTTAAATGCTAATCTTCTCTCAAACTTTTTGAAAAATACTGATACAAAACTAGATTCTCAAAGTTTAAAAAAAATAGTAAAGCTTTATTTTATTCTTCCTTAAAACGCAGAAATTAAGTCCCTGACTTTGACTTTCGTAGCTCCTAACGGTCAGTTAGATAAACTAAAAAGGAGCGATAGGACCCACCTCCAGTCCGGGTCCGCCGCGGCAGCAGCCTGACAGCAGCCCGCATGAAGCCGAGGGCAGGAGACAACATGCTGGAGGACACCGAGGGTCAAACACTGCGCATGGCGTCCTGCTGAGGACAGAGAGAGCCACAAACAGCCAAACAAACAACAAGTTAGACCTAAAACACAACCGCAGCACGTCGCTCTTATAATCTTCTTCTTCGTCTCCTCCTCCTCCTTCTTCTTCTTGGATTTCATGGCGGTTGACAGGCAACAGTTTGGCGCTTACCGCCACCAACCAGTAAGGAGTGTGGACTAGGACTACAGGCTAAAAAAAAAAAACTCTACAACTCCAACATTATGCACAAATGAAACCCCAAACCAAAAGAAATAGAAACAATAGAAATAAGAAACATTGTTCCTTTTTCTGTTTAAGTCAAGTCGAGGCAAATTTATTTGAATAGCACAATTCAGTACAAAGACAATGCAAAGTAGTTTACATGATTAAAATATAGGAAAATAAAACAGAATCAAAGCAAGTAGGAAAAAAAATAAAATAAAAAATTCAGAAACAAAAAAGAATATTAAGAACAGTATTACTAAAGAAAATAAAAGTTGAACTAATGATGTTTCAGTTGAACTGTTAAACTAGAACCGTCGAAGGCAATCCTAAACAAATGTGTTTTTAGTCTTGATTTAAAGGAACTCAGGCTTTCCGCACTTTTACAGTTTTCCTTAAAAATTATATTCTTTGCCTTTGAGGAGTGTTGGCCTAGTGCTTAGAGCAGTGCACTTGTGCTCTGAGAAGGTTGCTAGTACTCGGTTTGATCCCCTCAGCCTGCACTCTGGGTCCCTGAGCAAGACCTTTAACCCCCAAACTGATCTGTTGACTGATTAATGAAGAATTTGAATTCTGAGCAAATCACGGCTCTTAGTGGTCAGATCTCCTCAATCCATTCTTTTGCCGGCATTAACTGTTCATTTGAATAGTAGCATTAAATTGTTTCATTTCCTATTGGGATGAATGAAGTATTTTTATTTATAATTATTGCAATCATTTGTGCTGTGTATATAGATAAACCTTAATTTAGCATTCTCACTATATTGATTTTGAATTCTGGAACTACAACTGCTGGCCCGTTTGACCAGATGAACCTTAGGATGCATCTGTATCAATTTGAGCTTTAAATTTGTTCTATACTATTTTACTGTTATTTAATTGCATAAAAACATTTTACCTTTAAAATAAGATAGAAAATCCCTTTATCTTCCCACAATGGAGAAATTGTTGTGTTAAGTAGCATTACAGCAAATGTTATCACACAAATGTGGACCTTAAAAGTGTATAAAAAAATAACAGAATAAGTGCCAGAGTAAAGTACTGTTTCAGATGCTGATCCATAAAGTATATAACTATAATCAACTTTAGGTCTAATCCGGCTAATGTAGATAATTTTCTAAGCTTGTCTATCATTCATACCGAACTACATATCTCATTATATTCAATATGTTTTGATATTTCTCAATAACCTTTTCCATGTGTATTTTACAGGTTCTTCTACTGTATTTAATGGCAGCCTACATATCAACTGTGCAGCAATGTCTTCAAACTTCAGCTCCCCAGTAAACCACAATAAAAGGTTTCCTTTGAATTACATACCTTTTGCATGCTCTGTTGATTGTATTGCAGCCACTATACCAACCAAGGAGATGTATTGCCATCTTAAAAAGGATACTATTTAGGAAACAATGACCTGTTCTTATTCTGTTTATCACTACCTATATTAAGTGAGCCACAAAGCCAAGGTTGCATACTCCTGATCTAACTCTAATAACTGTGATCCTACCTTAATATGCCTGGAGCTTAAAGATGACTGTAATTTCCAAATAATTGTTAAAGCTACAGTGTGTAATTTTCAGCGACATCTAACATCCAGACTGCAGACTGCAGCAACATGAACATCTCCCCCCCACCACTTCTCCCCCCTAACAGTACGGCGAGCGTTACGGGACAAAATGTCTTCCACGACGTCCGCATCACCTACCCTCTCAAGTGATGAGGTTTGTTTACATAGATAATTTTACAGATAGTATTTCATTAGTCTGTGTAGGGTATAGATTTCAGTACCGTCTCAGTTCATCTCTCTCAATTTGCCGTAGTTACTTTCGAGCGTAATGGGCGATCTCGCAATCGCTAGTTTGGTGGCTCTGCGCTACTGTAGCGCAAAGATGTCAGCCTCCATGGCTGCGAGACCCGCTCCTATGTAATTATAAATAATGAATTCTAAGGCAACGCAAATATTAAGGTTAAGAGGCTGAGCTCGTAGATGATGATAAATAACATAGTTATGTATAATATATTACATTTCTGACTGTATATCCCTGTAATTTTTACACACTGTAGCTTTAAAGCAAATTGGACAGATGAAATATGCTGGTGAAGGTTCTTTTTGGAAACAAAGTCCAGTGGATTGTTTTTAATTTTCTTTTTTGGAATGACAGATGAAATGTTGAAAAGGCACAAATCAGTTATAGTCTCTGCTACCAAGTCATATCATCATAACTTCCTTTATTTAGTATCAAACTGCAAAAACTGATTAAAATATATATTTTTATTTTTCAATCTGTGTATTTGCTTTTAATTTGAGCAGGTATATAAGATGATCTGCCAAAGGAATGAGTGTTTCTTTCCTCTTAAAATAAGATAATTAGATACGATGCACTTGATATAAGATAATTAGTTCTTTTTCCTCACTTTAAGCATAAATTCATCCTATTCCATTGTAGGGTTGTCACGATACTAAACTTTTCAACTCGATACCGATACTAAGGAAAATATTCGATACTCGATACCATTTTCGATACCACAAGGATAAAAACAAAGATTCCAAAATTCTACAGAAAATTTTCATTAATAAATAAAATACAATAAATAAATACAATAAAGGTTGTATGCTGTGCACAATATTAAGCAAGCTTGATAAAAAACGTATAAAATTAAAATTAAGTGTTCCTTCCTTGGCTATGCTTTGCATACATAACAATGACACTAGCCAAACCGGTTAAGAAACAAAAATAATCCTCAGCAGCTGCACCTGTTACAAAAAAAAAAAAAAGTCTGAAACTGAAAAGTGCGTAGAATTATTCAATCACACAGTGTTCTGATTATGCATTGTCCTCTATTCTGCACTTTAGATGAATGACTGCTTAGGTGCCACTGGTGGTGGCACTGTATCGATACTTTTAAAAATGAGTATTGTATCCGGATACAACATTTTGGTATCGATACTTTTTTGAGTTTCGATACTTTTGACAACCCTATTCCATTGGTACATTGTCTTACTGTGTGCCTAAATAAAGGGAAATATAACAAATTAAAGAAAAAATTACTCAGATTTTATTTTTTTAGTGTATTTCTTTCAGTGACCTGTTCTACTGGGCCATTGGCCGCTGTTAGCCCCCATCTAGAACCGCCCATGTTGCAAATTAGCCTTCAAGAGGTTATAATTTTATTTCATAGATAATTTTCACAATTTATTATTCAATTTTTTTCTAGTATTGGAAATATAAGTGCTTTCAAAATAGGATATTTTTTTTAAATGTGTTTTTTTTCTTCTATTTTCATCTTGCTATATTTATTCTAGATATGTTCTTTTTTTTCTGGTGGAAAACATTTTAATCTACCATGTAGTCTGACGAATGTGGCCTATTATTTCCCTTGTAGAGATTTAAAAACAAAACAATAAAAATACCCTATAACCATTATCTGCCTTTGCTAGCTCCCTGCACTGTTAGCCACACTCATTCTGTGGGTCAAAATTCTCCCTGGGTTTGGTTTGTCAGGCATAGAACAGTTTTTCAAGAAATTAATATAAAATTTTAGCATAAGTTATGTGTGGGTTATGTAGATTAAGACAACCATGATACATGTTTATTTTGCGCACACACACATAATCATGGTATCACAGACAGTTCCCTGTTTTGATCAGATTATAACTAGCTTCAATTTAGGTAAACACTACATTTCTCTGTGTATATTTCATTCGAGGGTGTTTTTAATTTTTCTGCGTATTATGGGTTTCTAGTTTCATAATCATAGTAAGGTTAGTTTTGTCACTTCAGTGTTTCAGATCTTTAAACATATTTTATTATCCTGAAAACATAGCCGGAGTAAACTTTATTTTAAGTTCCTAAATTAGAAAATGATTTACAAAGATGTCTCTGAAAAATACTCATTGTCTGGCTGCATAATCCAAAAACCTAATGACTGGACAGGTTCCATCGTGTTTTGGAACATTTGAGATGGACCTTTAAACATTTATTTTCAATGTTTTATTCAAAACCCAAGCTTTGTTAATTTGGCAATATTCCTTTCATATATCTTGTCCGTGTTACACAAATTTCTATAAAACTCATCCCGTCAAAAACCCTTCCTGAAAAACCGCGTTCAGGACAAACTTTACCCATGCTCCTTGGGTCTGTCCGATTTGTCGCCTGAATGAAACATAAAAGCGACGCAGCCTCCAGCAGGGCATTGGTTGAGGCGATAAAACCGACCACAACCTTCTTCTACATCGCTTCTGCTCCTCTTCAAGCATTCCCAGTCAGGTTTGTGTGCTTTTATTTTATTTAAAACATGCAAATACCGAGTTTCATTCAGCGGAGGATGGTTGTTTTCATGCGTCAAAGGATCGGCGCGTCACGCGCTGATCCACATTTCCAGAAAGTTCTCTCTTTGAACTATTGTAATATTTATTTAAATTGTTCTAATTTTTATTTTTTTATTATTTATGTTGGTTGCTTTATCTTTCTTTTTTTGGTTAAGCTGAAATATTTGGTGAATTAGAGAAAGTAGAGCAGGTAGCTCAGGTTTATTATGCCATGACATGCTAGCATCTCCTAGCTTACAGAGGAGGGTATTATCCGCTCAGCATTTAAAACGCTCTACTTGGCTGAGTTTGCCTGTCTGTTCCTCTACTTCCAGGCCGATCGCAGCGCTCCGCGTGCTGGACCTTGAGGCGCCAGCATGGACCCTAGAAAAGTGAGCGAACTGAAGAGCTTCGTGCAGCTATGCGAGTCTAATCCAGGGATCCTGCACCTTCCAGAGATGGGCTTCTTCCGCACCTGGCTGCAGAGGTCAGGATCTCTGAAACACACCGTTCATTGGGGCCTGTTTAAGGGATAAACTGACAGAGACGATCTTTGTTTGAGTTTTATCTAATATTTTAAGTCTATAACACTCTGCAGTCTGACCA